GCCGCAGGGGCAGGCCCGTCAGCTCCAGGCGAGCGAGGGCCGGGGAGGCGGCCAGGCAGGCCCCGAGGGCCTGGCTCAACCTGGCGGTGACGTCGCGCGAGTGCAGCGGTGGGCCCGCGGAGCCCGCCGGTAGCCGGGAATCCCGCCGGGGCGGCGTCCGTGTGGAGCCTGTGGCGGCGGTGACGACAAACGGCGGCATCGCACCGGGTGTCACGAGCATGCGCTGGCGCTCTGGCAATACAGGGGATCTCTGTCTTCATGCGTGTATGCCTGTGTGTGTTTGTGAGCGCGTGTGTGGATGCGAGTAATGGAGAACTCAAAGCTGGTCCCAACCGTCCCTATGTTCTCACGGAATGTACACACACACGCTTACGCACGCAACAACGCAAATATCCCCTGCGTAGCTCACGATGCAACACACAAGGGGTGGGTGGTTAGCAGCACGGTCGGCCGCATTTGTCTCCCTGATACTGATGTGTACACACTGCCTAAGGTACTCATTTACGAGTCAACCTAGGGGAGGCCCAGGCCTGGTACAGATATTCGTCATTGCATGTTCTCTCTGCAGCAGAACAGGGCGGGGGGGTTGTGAATTTGCATCCTCCACACAGAGAGACACCAGAGTCGGTGGCCGAACAAAGGGTGGAGCTAGCGTCATCACTGCCGCCATCCCGTCCACCCACCCGCCACCCCCACGCCGTCCTAGCGACAACGAAAGTGCTACCGCTGCCACCTATGCGGGGAGCCCACCTGCGTCGGCGCGCAGGGCGCAGCTGCGCACGCACACGAAACTCAGGTGGCGGTTGACGTGCAGCGCGTTGGCGACGGGCGTCCAGTCGGCGAGCCGCACGCGGTCCCCGTGCAGGTCGAGGCCCCCGCGGGCCAGGTGGGCCGTCACGGCCGGCAGCGGCGCGCAGTCCTGCAGGGCGCAGAGGTGCGCGTAGTACGAGCCCAGGTCCAGCGCCCCGCGGCGCCTAGCCTGCACCGACGCCAGCATGGCGGCAGTGCCGGTGCAGCCGCCAGCCTGGGGTCACCACCTAACCTTTGACCCGCAGGCAAGTTTCTCAGTCGGCGCGAGGTCTCTCAGACGCTTGAGGTTGCAGGTCGAAGTTGTTGAACGAGGTGCGAGAACTCAAGAAGAGGCCAGCATAGTCGCATTGGCGACAGCCACCTGGGTCTCCTGAATGGCAAAAGCAAAACCATTTGGGAGTAAAGCGACAAAGCAAATGGAAATTGGAACAAAAACAACTGTGTCAACACGAGACAAAAACGAGTGTTATTGCGCACAGACCAACGTTAAATAACAAAAATGCCGCAGTGTAAGTCAGTTCGGGCAGATTGTTTTTAGACTGATCTTAGCACACATTTTTACTTAAAATTTTCGTGACTGCAGGAATTCATATTCTATGGTTCTGTCTGAAGAGTGACTTTACTGAAATAACCAAAGAATATGGTCTTAGCACAGTCACAAAACCGAGTTACAGAAACATGACACGGCTATTGGCGGGTGACTATTGCACTCGTACGGAACCAGACGGCGATGCGATGAAGGTGATGATGGTGAGGGTGGTGATGATGGTGGTGGTGATGATGGTGATGATGATGGTGGTGGTGATGATGGTGATGATGATGGTGGTGGTGGTGATGATGGTGATGATGATGGTGGTGGTGGTGATGATGGTGATGATGGTGGTGGTGATGATGGTGATGATGGTGGTGGTGGTGATGATGGTGATGATGATGGTGGTGATGATGGTGGTGGTGATGATGGTGATGATGGTGGTGATGATGGTGATGATGGTTGTGGTGGTGATGACGGTGATGGTGGTGCTGGCGCAGTGATGGTGATGCCAAACCGAGGGTGGCCGCGACCTTTCCCGCAGAATGGACACGGGCACGGGCGCGCTCCACTCACATGTGGCTCTAAGAGTGGGTAGATTTTCACAGCCAAATGGTAATTGACTTTTGGAGATCGCAAATAAAATCAAACGCAGGCGTGCTGCTGTAATAAAGCACCACCACACAATACAGGTACCAGATTTCAGATGGCAATCCCTTCGGTGTCGCAAAGTGGGTGGGTGACGAGCACAAGGACAAAGATCCCCCGCGTAGCCCACAAGGCTGTTGGGGCAAGCCCTGTTGGCGAGTACACGCCGGGGTGGCCAGAACCACGTCCAGCAGCCACCTGTCTCCCCAATGCTGTTGGGTTTTCTTAAAGCAAACCGTGCTCGGTACTTATTTAAGGCTGAGTAGACAGAGGGGAGGCCCAGGGCCGGTTCAGATATTCGTCATCGATGTTGGCAGTGCGCTAACCACTGCACCACCGCTCCCCGCACGATCATGCACGCTCACGAGTGTTTGGGTGAAGTGCGTGGGCAAATAAGCGAGTACGTGGGTGAGCGGGTGAGTGGTTGAGTGAGTGGTTGAGTGAGTGGTTGAGTGAGTGGGTGTGGAGTTAGTGAGTGAATGAGTGAGTGGTTGAGTGAGTGAGCGAATGGGTGTGGAGTTAGTGAGTGGTTGATTGAGTGGGTGAGGAGAGTGTGTGTGTGGTTGAGTGAGTGAGTGAGCGAATGGGTGTGGAGTTAGTGAGTGAATGAGTGGGTGAGGAGAGTGAGTGTGTGGTTGAGTGTGTGAGTGAATGAGTGAGTGAGGAGAGTGAGTGTGAGTGCGTGAGGGAAGGTGTGTGAGTGAGTGTGTGAGTGAGTGAGTGGTTGAGTGAGTGGTTGAGTGAGTGGTTGAGTGAGCGAATGGGTGTGGAGTTAATGAATGAGTGGGCGAGTGTGTGAGTGGATCGAGGTTGAGTGGGTGGGTGAGGGGATGAGTAGGTGAGTAGATGAGAGGGTGAGCGAGCGTGGGTGAGTGTTGTTGTGACCTGCAGCCAGTGTCTGGTTGCCCGAGCCCTCGGTACGGGTGGAGGAACAGCAGCCACGGTGGTAGTGGTGGTAGTAGTGGTGGTAGTGGTTGTAGTAGTTGTAGTAGTGGTGGTAGTGGTGGTAGTAGTGGTGGTAGTGGTGGTGGTAGTGGTGGTAGTAGTGGTGGTAGTGGTGGTGGTAGTGGTTGTAGTGGTGGTAGTAGTGGTGGTAGTGGTGGTGGTAGTGGTGGTAGTAGTGGTGGTAGTGGTTGTAGTAGTGGTAGTGGTGGTAGTAGTGGTGGTAGCAGAGCGTGAGGCAGTCGCGGCAACTCCGTGCGGAGTCAATCTCCGCGCCAAAGTCCCCGCCAAAGCCGCGTTCTGGCGATCCGGCGATCCAAATGCCGCCTACAGGAATCGCGATTCGATCCCCGCGTCCGCCCATCCGGACCGCTCCAACGGCCGATCGATCCGCGGAATCGCAAAAAAAAACGAATCGGGCTTCGCGACTGCAAAATTCGCTTTAAAAAAATCGCCGCATCGATCTTAAATTACCGTCCGCGATTCGATTCTATCGATTCCTCCGATGCGAGTGGTTCGCCCGGCACAGAATCATCAGCAGCGTCTCCTCGCCCCTTGCCCCTCCACACAAAGACAAAGATCCCCCGTGTAGCCTGCAACAGACTGCTGGGGCAAGTGCTGTTAGCGAGCAGCACCTATGATGGCCGGCACGGCACACGAGGGGGTGGGTGGCCAGTACCACGCCGGGCCGCCTTTGTCTCCCCAGTGGCGATGCTTTTTACACACCGTACTCATTTGAGGCCGAGTCGACCTAGGGGGAGGACCCGGACCGGTTCAGATAATCGTCACGGGTGTTGGTGGCCGTGAGCGGGAATGCGAACTCGGGTTGCCGGGTTGGTAGCGCAGCGTAGCGCTCACCACTCCACTACCGCTGCCCCTTCACCCACGAGCAGCATCGTTTAGACGGCTCATCAGCGACACAGCCGGCCTCCCGGGAGTGCACGAAAGCAGCAGCAGCATCGATTGGTTCAACACGAGCAGAAGTCAGGAGTGGCTTCGACATGCAGCGTCTCATCAGCAGTGCCAGGCTTTGCCCGCAAACAATGCCAGCTACCTGCCAGGTGGTTGTCGACGAGGAGCAGAGAGCTCCGTTAGACACACGGGGCCTCGTTCTACGCACAACTGCTGACGGCACACGGAATGTCGAAACCGGTCCAGAGCCAAAATGATGAAACATTGAGCCGTGGACAAAGCAGCCCACTCTCGACACCAATTGCAGCCTCCCGCGTACCACGTGACTGCTGTGTGGCCACTCCCACTGAATCCCTTCGCTCCGCCCCCTGTGGAAACAGACACTGATCGGTGCAGCTCAACTTCTGCTCGATCCTTATCCCTCTCATCTCCCGCTCCTCCCTCCCTTCTCATCATCTCCCTCTCACCATCATCATCATCTCCCTCTCATCATCATCTCCCTCATCATCATCATCTCTCTCTCATCATGATCATGTCCCTGGCTGGGAGATCCAACTCCTGTCGCCGGGATCACGGCGCAGTCCGACAACCGGCTAAATGCGCGGCCCCCCAAATGCTCACTCGCGTTCACGTCATGTATTTATCGACCGGCCGGTGGGCCTCCACCGGAGCAAAACCACAAAGGGAATTTGGCCTCCTCTTTCACGGTGGCCAGGCGCGATTGAAGAGGCGGGAGGACGCACACTTTACCCCACCACACGCAACCTGCCCAGCGACTGCGGCGAACACACGGACGCAGGCAGAGGGCGGTGGCGGCGGCGGTGGAGGGCGATTTGAGGAACTTTCCCCGCAGACTCAGCTGCTGCTACTGCCCCTGCCGCGGCACCGGCAGACGAAGTGGAATCGGCGAACTCGGGATCGCAAGCGCGGTGGAAGTGCCGCTGCAGACCGCCGCACCAGCGCTCCGGGAGCTCCGGGGCAATGGGCCGAGTTCATAAAACTGCTGGAAAAAAGCTTCATATCTCATCGGATTCCTCCTCCGGTCTAAATGCGGATTCCGATTCGACGCGCGATCACGCAGCGACGACCATATTCATGATGATGCATCGCACCACTGCGAGTACGACACGAACGACGATGCACAAAACGCCACGAGAACTTTACAAAATTCTGCTTTTATTAAACCTCAACGGTAGCGAGCCTCTCTTCAGCGGCGGTGACTTTCTACGCGAGCGTCGCGCGCAGTGGACACGCGTCCGCAGAACTCCGTGACAACACGCACACACTCATTTATGTTTCTCAAATCACACGAAACCGCTTCCCAAGTGGACACGCGCACACACGTCAACGTTAGCGTAGAGCGAACGTCGAAACCGGACCCCGAGTTGCGCTTGCCTGGAAGCCAACGCCGCCGCAATTGGGCGCCCCCCAGAAGGAAGGCCGCGTCGCTGGTGGGATGTGTAAAAACGACGCGTCCATTTGTCACCTTTGTTGGCGCTAACCAATGAGCGTTGGCGGCTGCGGTGGCTTCCATGACATTCGCGCAGGCCAGAGAGAGAGAACGAGAGATTTTATTCAATGCCACCAAGCAAAAACGTTGCCGTGAGCTCTCTGGTTCCTGGCGCACCGCAGAGGAGACCGCTGGGGGGGGGGGGGGGGGGGGGTCATGAAAGGATCGGGTGAGCGACTTGTAGGGTGGGAACAGATCAGGGCAGCACGGTGTGGTCGCTGTCACCGGGAGGCGGATGAGGTAGAGATGGGTGGGACCACGGTGACATTGAGATCCGGACACGATGTTTCGGGCGCAACACAACCACAGCAAGAAACACTTCAGCAATTGTTTATTGCTGTGGTTGTCCCACCTGATGACGGCCGCTTGTGTTGCGCCCGAAACGTCGTGATTTTATTTATTTGATTTTATACCTACGTGACTTTACCGAAAGAACCAAAAGTATGGATCCCTGTAGTTACAAAAACTTAAAACTAGATTTACACTTCAATCAACCAATGCTTGCTTTAGACCCTGTGGCGGGGGGGGGAGTGCGGGGGTGACGCTCGTGCCTCACAGCCAGGAGGGGCTGGGTGAGATCCCCAACCCGGGCGCCTCTCTGCGTGGAGTCTGTATGTCCTCCTCCGTCTCTCGCTCCCCAGCCCCCTGGTCTGCGTGGGTTCCCTCCGGGATCTCCCAATGCTGACAAATCGCCTGCAAGTTACTCGATTGGGTTCACACACGGCAGCAAGCGGTAGCAAGCGGTGGCATCGTCCCCGACTGCGAACACCTGGCAGGACCCTCCTGAAAAGTAGTCTTGAGACTCGGTGAGGATCTCCTGGGTGATGCAAGTGTAGCAATAATCATAATACATGGAGCTGGTAAAAAAAAAGTGCAGTGTCAATATTCAAATATTAAGAGGCCACGTAATTGTCGACTGTCTGTGTGCAGAGGCCGGGGATGACGTCCAAACGCGAATCTATACAACGATGGCAGATCAGCAATGCGGGGCATATGAGGTTCGGATGAGGATTTGCATGTTTTATTTGTATTATCATATGATCTTACTTTGTATTTATAGAGCGCCTTAGCTCAAGGTGCCCGATGACATGGTTCTACAAGCGGTAACAAGGGCAGTGCAAGGGCCGAGGAAGGAGTGACCGTAACAAGAGGAGGGCACGTGGGGTCACGGAAGGGCTGTAGGGGGGGTCGGAGGGGCGAGGAGAGGGAAGGGAATGGGCAATAGAGAAGAGGTGAGGCTTTAAGAGATGAACGGAAGGGGGTTAAAGAGGGAGACTGCTTCATGTTCCGTTTGTTTACCCAGGACAGCCTCACCGAGTCTCATGACCGTTTTGCAGGAGGGTCCTGCCAAGTTTTCGCCACAGCTCGTGACGATGGGCCACGCGTGTAATTGCAAGCGGGCACATTTGCGGTGTCGCGTTTTCAAATTGGCACCGCGACGCCGGCACGGCCTAACTCCTGCTGATGGCGTCACGGCATCCCTAAAGAGCAGCACATCCCTAACGAGCAGCGCATCCCTAACGAGCAGCGCGGGACGGGCGGGCGGGGTGGCGTGACATCTTTGGTCGTTAGTGGCGCCGGCTTGAAATCCTCGTCACCTCACAGCAGCGTGCTTCAACATCCCATCTCGAGCGTTCCGATTGCCCTGCTGCGGCCGAGCCAAGAGGATCCCCCCAGCGGCAGCTGTCCCCGTCAGAATCTGCTACGGCGGTTCGCTCAGAGGTCAACTTGCTCGATACATCGCATCCGGCGGCGGACAGACCACGGCCGATGACGACGATGACGAAGCGTCGCTAGAGCTGCTTGCTCTCGATGCACGAGGGGACGTCGCTGTAGCCGCTGTCCAGCGAGCTGGCCGCGGGGTCCGGGAGGTGCGACGAGTCCAGGGGATCTGCGCCGTCCGCCGGGGCGGCCGTTTTCGCCGGCCCCTTGTACACGAAGAAGGCCACCAGGAAGAAGACGATGGTCACCACCTTGCAGCACGCGCCTGCGGGACACGCGCACGCGGGACACGCGCACGTGGGACACGCGCACGCGGGACACGCGCACGCGGGACACGCGCACGTGGGACACGCGCACGTGGGACACGCGCACGCGGGACACGCGCACGCGGGACACGCGCACGCGGGACACGCGCACGCGGGACACGCGCACGTGGGACACGCGCACGTGGGACACGCGCACGTGGGACACGCGCACGCGGGACACGCGCACGCGGGACACGCGCACGCGGGACACGCGCACGCGGGACACGCGCACGCGGGACACGCGCACGCGGGACACGCGCACGCGGGACACGCGCACGTGGGACACGCGCACGTGGGACACGCGCACGTGGGACACGCGCACGTGGGACACGCGCACGCCCGGGGAGGGAAAGGTCGCGCGTCAACACGTCAGGGGTAGCGCCGCCGCTCGGCGTGACGTTCCCGACGACGTTCCCGACGACGTTCCCCACGTCCCGGACAACGTTCCCAACGACATTCCCGATGATCTCGACGACGTTCCCCACGTCCCACGCGCTGCGAGGAGCTTCTCCAGGGAGCGAACTGCGCGCGGAGCGGAGCGTGGGACGTTGCGCCGAGCAAGGCGCGACGCAATCCGAAGACTCAAGAGTCGGTGTTCCGCAGTGAAAGCCTCGAAGGTTGGTGGATCACGCAGAGATGTTGTTAAACTCCATTCCCGTGGGCATCGAGGAGGAGCCGTGCGTACGTGTGTTGAACTTCTTTCGCACCGTACGTAGCCAACCGTGTTAATTGGTACAGTAATGTTTGGTCTATGGGATAGAGTGTTGCCCCCTTACACGTGTGCATTTCGCCCCACGTGTAAACACTCATTAATTGGCCAATAACACCTTCATATATAGAGGACCGCAGACCTTTGGGGGGGGGGGGGTGGGGAAATGTGGCGCCTGCTGCTGCTGCTGGTGCTGCTGCTGCCTTCCCGCTCGTGACTGCGGTTGCCGCTCGCACCGCGGGGACGTCGCCGCCCCTCTACGCGAGCGAGGGGTGAGGACTGCCGCAGCGTTGCGAGCTGACGACAATATTCTTTCATTATTGCCGAGTCTCAAAACGCACTTTCAGGTTTTCGCAGAAGGGCCGAAGTTGCTGCCATGGAGTGCGTGCGTGGTGCTGGCCACCCACCCCCTCCCGTGCCACAGAGCCGGCCTTCATAGGTGCTGCTCGCAAACAGCACTTGCCCCAACAGTCTGTTAAGGCTACACTACTGGGGGATCTTTGTCTTTTGTCTGCGTGCACAATTACGTGTTTGCTCTGTGTCACTTGACACCAGGACAGCCTTGCACACGAGACGTTCCATCTAAAGGAACTATTCATGTTAAATATTTTAACTTATCAAGTAAATAAAAATACCAGAATCCCTCTCCATTGCTTGTGTGCGTACAAATCTTTACCTTTCAATTCCACCTCTACACCAAACCCCCGTGAGCATTCCTCTTCCCGCACCGCGGCACTCATGCCCAACGCTCGCCCTGACACTGAATCGCCAGCCCAACGCTAATGATGCATCGAACACAGTCTGTTGGGGAGTCTTTACCTCATCCCAACTGTGTGATGTGCGGGGAATGTTTCAGCATTGGGGATGTTTTGACCCGAATCCCGGTCACACCGCGTGGGTGGGTTGCCAGCTCTGTCCGGAACCTGGCGACGCGGAACCGCCACCGTGTGGCAAAGCGGGCGAGCCCAGCGCTCCGCCAGTGCTAGCCGTGTGCCTGCGGCGCATCCCTGGCAATCATGTACAGCATGTTTAGACTTCTTTCGCGCCGTACGTAGCCAATCGCGCTAAACGGAGGTGCGGCGGAAGGACAACAAACTAAGCACAAAAAGCTGTTGTCAAGAAATTAGTTTTCAATCGAAACTTAAAAGTGCATAGCTCAAGTGGCTTCCTAACATCAGAAGAGTGTTCCAGACGGCCACAGAAACGCATCTGAAAGCGCCACGCGATGCTTTGACCGATGGCCAGCAGAGCCGCCCCTAGGAGTTACGGCGAATCGGGGCGACCACCCCGGGTCACGTGCTTTGGGGGGCCCCTCGCTTCGACGTCAGATGTAATATTTCCGGTTTAGTTTGAAGGCGTCAGGGGGGGGGGGGGGGGGGGGATGCCCACGTGGCGCGGTTTGCCCCGGGCCCTGAGGCCGTCCATGGCGTGGGGCCGCCACGCGACGACGTACCGATGGCGAGCAGCAGCAGCGACATGGTGGGGTTGTCGTACGTCCAGCACGCGCCGCGCTCCCCGCACGGCTTCTCGCTCCACAGGATGCACGTCTTGTCGATGATCACTCCGAAGAGGATCGGCCCGGGGATGGTGCCTTCGACGGGTGCAACAAACGAAGAGAACGCACATTCGCGATGATAATCGTCAATGTGATGGTGATCCGTCATTCATTTCTCTTGGGTCGGATCGTCGCGTTTAGGTCGTTTAACTCTAACCCTCCGCCACTTGCCAGTGACAATCAAATAAAGTCGTCACGTGATGGGCAAATATGCAAATTGATTTATCAGCAAAAGTCGAGGAAGAGGAGGGATATTGATAACCAAAGCAGCATTTCGACTGTTTAGTCCGACGTTTCGCCGGAGCGTGAATGCTCCTTCCTGATCCGAGTGCTTAAGTAGGCGCCATGACGTCATCGGCACGGCGTCACCATGCCACAGCACGTGAAACTAGCCTGCCAATCACACAGCCAGACAGCCAGCAATCGACTGTCAGTATTAAACTGAATTACGTGAAGGTAACGGACTGAGTCACCCCCCCCCCGCCAACCAGGATGAGAACTCGCAACCTTCCTATTGCGAGCCGCTGGTTCTACCGCCACCGTGCCGGTTACAACTCTGACGGTGCTGTTTGTTGCTGGCCGCTTGGGGTTTTGGGGTTTTGAGCCTTTGGGCAACTCTGGCTCAGTAACCGCGCCGAAACAAGAAACCGCGGCGGTGCCGGTGGTGGCGGTAGTGGAGGCGGGGTGGGGGCGGCGGTGCCGGTGGGGGCGGCGGTGTGGGTCGCGACCCCGTGAGACCCCGTGAGGAGGGGAGGGCGGAGGGCAACATTACCCAGCGCGCGGATGAAGAGCCACTGCACGCCCAGAGCAAACGAGCGCTGGCTCGCCGGGACACACCTGCGCCACACAAAGACAAAGATCCCCCGTGTAGCCTTAACAGACTGTAGGGACAAGTGCTGTTAGCGAGCACCTATGAAGGCTGGCACGGCACACGAGGGGGTGGGTGGCCAGCACCACGCCCGGCGATGTTTACACACCGCACCAGGTACTCATTTGAGGCTGAGTCGACCTAGGGGAGGTCCAGGACCGGTTCGGATAATATAATCGTCACTGGTGTTGGTGGCCGTGAGGGTCACCGGGTTCGTAGCACTAACCGCTACCCCACCGCTCCTCCCACGCAGCAGACATTGGGCGTCGTTCAAGGCCAAACTCTCCTGCACTCAACACCACACGGCACTCGGTGGAGAATATCCATCTCTCCATGGCGGCGGTGGTGGTGGTGGTTTGGTGGTGGTTGGTGGTGGTGGTAGTGGTAGTGGTGGAAGTGGTGGTGGTAGTGGTGGTAGTTGGTGGTGGTAGTTGGTGGTGGTAGTTGGTGGTGGTAGTGGTGGTGGTAGTGGTGGAAGTGGTGGCGGTGGTGGTAGTGGTGGTGGTAGTAGTGGTGGTGGCGGCAGTGTTGTTGCTGCACTGAGCTCACCGCAGCGTGATGTTGATGGCGGGCGTGTTGGAGATGAAGGTGAAGATGATGACGAGGAGGAAGATGCCGAGGAAAAGAGGCATGTTGGTGCACGTCGAGCCGCACTTCCCCTGCTCCACGCTGGGGCCCACGCTGGGGCCTTCTCCTCCCAGCCCGACACAAGAGCAGTTCGCAAAACCCTGCAGCCAGCCAGTCACCATCAACATCACCATCAACATCACCATCAACATCACCATCAACATCACCATCAATATCTCCATCAACATCACCATCAACATCACCATCAACATCACCATCAACATCACCATCAACATCACCATCAATATCTCCATCAACATCACCATCAACATCACCATCAACATCACCATCAACATCACCATCAACATCACCATCAACATCACCATCAACATCACCATCATTAGCAGCAGCACGGCCGGCGACGTTGCAGTGGTGACGTCACCATCACTTAGTGGTCAATGGCAGGTGTTGGTGTTGATATTGGAGTGTGTGAGTGAGAGAGTGTGTGTGTAAGTGAGAGTGTGCATGAGTGAGAGAGTGTGTGGATGAGAGGGTGTGTGTGTGAGAGAGTGTGTGTGTGAGTGAGAGTGTGTGAGAGAGAGTGTGTGTGTGAGAGAGTGTGCGTGAGTGAGAGAGCGTGTGGATGAGACAGTGTGTGAGTGTGTGGAGCGGTAGTGTAGTGGTTAGCGCTACGCTGCGCTACGAACCCAGCGACCGAGTTCAATTCCCGCTCACGGCAAATACCAGAGACATTTATCTGAACTGGTCATGAACCTCCCCTAGGTAGACTCAGTGGCAAATTATTACCGAGTGCAGTGTAAGCATTGCCAATAGGGAGACAAAGGCGGCCGGGCGTGGTGCTGGCAACCCACCCCCTCGTGTGCCGTTCCGGCCTTCATAGATGCTCGCTCACAGCACTTGCCCCAACAGTCTGCTGAGACTATACGGGGGATCTTTGTCTTTGTGCGAGTGAGTGAGTGGGTGAGAACGTGTTCTCTCTTCCCTGTTCCGTACGGGTCTCCTCCGAGTTCTCCGGCTTCCCCCCAAGGCTAAAATAAACCCCTGTGCAACGTCATAGGTATTGGCCAAACACGACACCGCCGGTGGTGTAGTGTGGCGAGTCCGGGGAGGGCGCTCCGTGCCTTGAGCGAGAGCACAGTTACACGTCTGCGATTTGACGACCGAGCTACAGTCGGAGAGTTTGTGTATCTTACAACGCTCGAGTCGGTGTGCGTGTGCGGTATCCGCGTGGCCATGTTTTACGCGCTCGCAGCCTCTGCAGTTGTTCCACACTCAAGGTGGGGGGGGGGGGGCGCGTTGCTGCTCTCTCGTGCTTTCCAAATTGAGTGACCGGCGCCGTAACCTTTCAGAAATTTGGCGAAATTTTCTCCCGTGATGCCCGGCGCTCAACGGCCGCTGCGTCTCGGATCGACGTCGCGGGAAACTTTGACGTCCACTGTGAGCGAAGCGGACGGCGCGTAGTTTCCCGCTTCACGGTGAACGCACCGCCGCAGTTAATAACCGGGGCTTTCCTGTCAGATTCGAACCGCGGATACCTGCAGAAAGCGGCGGACGCGCTTCCGTTGGGTCCTGTGCAGGTTGCGCTTGAATTTTTTAATTCCTCTGGCTACAAACAGGCATCGAGATGGGGGATTAACCTCAACCGAGTCCGCGACCCCGAAATCATTTCAGAGCCCGGCACACCGCATCCAGTCTTCCCTCTCGTCGTAGGCCGCGGCAGGCGACGCGGCGACCGGCGAGTGAGAACCGGCACGCCAGGCGCAGTGGCGTGCCGGGGCGGAATGCGCCGAGCGTGGCACCTGTGGGATGCTGGTGGTGCAGCCCGCGTAGCAGGCGGAGAAGAACTGCACTCCGTCGTCGGTGCAGACCGGCGCGAAGAGCGAACGCTCGCAGCCGCAGGGCGCGTTGCACTCGGCCTCCAGCATCAGCAGCGCCTCGCCAGACCTGGGGCACAGCGCCGCCGCTCGCTCGGTTCCTCGCTCAACCGCTCAGTCGCTTGGTCGCTCGCTCGCTCAGGTCATTGGGGCGGCAGGACCCGTGTGTGCGCGTGTACCCAAGCGTGTGTACCCGCGCGTGCGTGCGTACCCAAGCGTGCGTGCGTACCCAAGCGTGCGTGCGTACCCAAGCGTGCGTGCGTACCCGTTGTAGGGCTGCGTGACCCCGGCGAAGGGCGCGTTCTCGCAGCTCGCAAAGTAGAAGACGGCGCAGAGCGCCAGCGAAGCCAACGAGGAGCCGGACGCCAGCAGCAGCGTCCGGCGGCACGACAGGTGGAGCTTGCTGACCAGGAGGCCCCCCAGGACCTGACCCACCACCGCCCCCGGTATGCTCACCAAGCCTAGCGGGGGGCGGGCACGGGGGGGGGCGCACGGCGGGGGCACGGTGGGGGCATGGCGGGAGCACGGGGGGGGCACGGCGGGGGCACGGTGGGGGTATGGTGGGCACGGGGGGGGCGGGCACAGGGGGGGGGGGGCACGGCGCACCGTTATGTCCACTGCGCCACCCAGGTGAGCTTCACGGAGTCTCAGACGCAGTAGGGGGCGATGCTGCTGCTGCTGCTGTGCGATTGCGATGGAGTAATTTGCAGGTCATTGTACAGCATTGGGATATGTGGGCGGTGACATTGCGGGTGTGAGTTTAGCTACGGGAAGAAACCGGAGAACCCGGAGGAAACCCATGCAGAACCAGGGGAGAGCAAACAAACTCTGCACGGAACAAACTCTACAGTGAACAAACTCGACGATGAAGACAATGACGATGATGATGACGATGACGATAACGATGACGACAACGATGATGATGATGATGACGATGATGATGACGATGATGACGACGATGATGATGACGATGATGACGACGACGACGATGATGATGACGATGATGACGATGATGACGACGATGATGATGACGAGGATGACGATGATGATGACGACGACGATGACGATGATGACGACGACGATGATGATGACGATGACGACGATGATGATGATGACGATGATGATGACGACGATGATGATGACGATGACGACGATGACGACGATGACGACGATGATGACGACGATGATGACGATGATGACGACAACGATGATGATGACGAGGATGACGATGACGACGATGATGACGATGATGACGACGATGATGACGACGACGATGATGATGACGATGACGACGATGACGACGATGATGACGATGATGACGACGATGATGACGATGATGACGACGACGATGATGATGACGAGGATGACGATGATGATGACGACGATGATGATGACGATGACGACGATGACGACGATGACGACGATGACGACGATGCAATAAGAATGGCAGAGCGCTACCTCCAAGCAGCGCTGCGAAGGAGGACGTCTGGCCGAACTGGTTCTCGATGAACTTGGGCATGAAGGTGATGAACCCAGCGACCACGAGGCCCTCGGTGGAGCCGGCCACCGTCACACACATGAACACCGCGTTCTTCACCAGCAGCTGGCATGCACACACACGAGCACACACACATGAGCACACACACATTAACACACACACATGAACACACACATGAACACCGCGTTCTTCACCAGCAGCTGGCACGAACACACACATAAACATACACACACACGAACACACACACACATGAACACACTGTTGTTTATGTTGGGTATGAAAATTTGTTATGTTGTATGCGTGCGTGGGTGAAATTATTATGTTGTATATGTGGGTTATGAATATTCAGTGGAAATAATAATAATTAAATGAAATTTGGCCAAATGTGTAATTACCCGGAAATATGTTAATTTATGTAATTACGCACATTTTATTATGCCAATTCGAGAGGTAATCGTATTAATTATGCGAGTGGGTGTAATTATGATAATGCAAGTCGTTATGATAACCAGACCCCGGTTCACCCCGTTATCGCTTTAACGTTTACTGAGTATGTATTAGTGTGTTTATTAAGGTCACCAAGTTCAAATCTCAACGCAGAAGCAGATCTTATGCATAGATTTCAGGAAAGAATCACACAACCACTTCTGTATTGATCAATTTATTACTAATTCAACCTTAACTATGATATAGTATGCGAACTCTCAATCCCGGAACGTCAATACGGCATCAATACAGTATCATCAACGATTGTCGGATTTCACTTCGACAACTGCACATGGATCCCGCCTAACGCGATGGTTGTTAGTGAGAGAGAGAGTCGTTAAAACGTGCAAATACTATGCTAAGAAAACCTTAACGTTAATAAATGATTATACTCAATATTGTTCACGCAGTACCGCACTCCTTATTGATCATACGCAACCCTTATCACGTTGTTAACACCTTGGGTCACGGAACAGTTGAATATTCTGTAGAGGATGCGAGTACGTGCGGCGATTATGACTGAAAGATACTTGAAAGATTATACGGCGATAAAAAAAAAACACAATCAAAACAGTTATTATTCTTAAAGGCACCAATCTCAACAGATACATCGGCAGGTTATCTCAGAACGGCTCGGAGTAAGGGCCTGCGACGGTGCTCCTTTTCCGAAGATCGTTATCTTATACCAAGTTTACTAATTGGGGACCAGATCACCTGATAAGGATCCGGTGGGCCACCACTCCCCACGTGAGCGTGGCTCGGCGGAAGGAGGTGCCAAGAATCAGTTCGTATTGATGGATCTGTTGGGAATTTATGCGATTAAGAGTACAGCCCACTAAATATTAAAGATAAAAATTAAGAATACTCTTATACGACGGAGGCCACCACTCGGTCTCGTTGTGATGCCTTCCCAGCCACGGATGACTTATGGGTTCGAGTGTGTTTGAGTGGTAAGAGTTGTCTTGAATAGTCAGTGTTCGGAGTCGATTCTTTATGTCAAACAGACGCCTGGTGGTCGTGTGGTGAGGGGGCGGTGCGCGTCATACGTATCAGGCGCTCTCCTGTCACCGTGGTGAATTGGCTCGGATGGCTGTTGATACGCTGTCGCAGTTCGGAACCCGGTCGGTAGGTGGCGCCCACAACTCGCTCGTAGCGTGCAGCGTTGGATCGTCGCCAAGTCGCGACGCTCACCACCGGCGGCAGCGGAGATCTCCGGCGGCAGCAGAGATTGACGAGCTGAAGATGAGTCGAGCCGACCCGCTGGTCGCAGCTCGCTCCTGAGTCGACCCTCCCGGTCGAGCTCGCTCCTGGGTCGACCCGCTGGTCGCCCTCGCTCCTGAGTCGACTCTCTGGTCGCACTCCTGAGTGGACCCGCTCTGTCGCACTCGTTCCTGAGTCGACTCTCTGGTCGCACTCCTGAGTGGACCCACTGGTCGCACTCGTTCCTGAGTCGACCCTCCCGGTCGAGCTTCTGAGTGGACCCTCCCGTCGCACTGGTTTCCAATGTTCAGGATCCGTTCCTTTATGCTGAAAAATCCCCCTGGATCCCGCCCACAAGGCGGGCTTCCGATTTTTGCTGTGTCAGGATCTGTCCGTAGGCAGGTGTGTCCATGTGTGTGTCCGTATGTCCTTGTGTGCATCACTGACGGTATATTCCGTTGTCAACTCCCTCCATAAAACCCACGAGCAAACAACCAGATGTTACAAATTGTCTCGAAGTCGTCTCTCTGTCTGGGTGCAATTTATCTCTTGTCTGGCCTTCTTCATGAACCCAAAACACAGACGTTACAAATCGTCTCATAGGCGTCTTTGTTCGTGTTGCACAACCTGGAGGGGGGCAACACTCTCTCCGACCCGGCGCACAAAGAAATGGTTAAAAGTTTTAAGTTAACATTTGTCCCTTACTATTTCACAGTTATGATTCTGTATGTAACCTAAGGTCTGTCGTTTCCCATCGTGGTTCCCGACCCAAGTGTAGGTGTTTCCCCGAGCGTACACACACTCCTATCCCGCGCTGCGGGGATACAAAGACGGCCGGGATCTCCCTTTCTCTCCGACCCTGGGTTTAACATCGTTTTTTTTTTATTATGTATTTATATTCGACCTGGTGGTGATTCATCCCGTTATCCTGGCTTTTCCATAAGTTTTACTTTGTCTTTCATGCATATACTTATTACTATTAATTTATTTCCGATATCTTAGGTTAAGGGGTAAGTTTCTTGATCCTAGGAATTCGTATTCCTTGGTGCCTGGATGGTTATATAAGCGGAATATAGTTTACGGTGAATAGCGTTAACATTGATGTTATGTGCGATATTATGTATTGTGATGTCTTTAACTTAACTTGTTTGTCAGGGCTTTACTGACACGAAGTTGCATTCCATAGCCCGCAGTCTTTGCCCCACCCTATCTCTGCTCGCCGTTGTTGTTGCCTGCCGTTAATTCAAGGCCTCATTAATTTCCGTCACCCCTGAGTAGGTGAGGGCGGTTGAACCTTGGAGTCAGTTCTGGTTTTTGTCTGCCTGCTTCTTCTTGTGTCCCCTGACCCCGGGAGTTATTATTCTACTTTATGGCCTGTCGAAGCCCCACTCGCTGTTGCTGGGCTGGTGTTGTTCCCGGCTTTTTGCTTACGTTTGCAGTTCGCCGTGCTCTTGATTTCCTTCCCTCTTCAACCTTATATTGACTATTCGCTCCTGTCTGGGTGCGATTCAATTTTGACTTAGGAAGGTTCTGATTGTCATATGCTTCGGGTCGAATTGTATAGAAAGTATTGAAGTATGGAAATAACATTTCATATTGACTTAATGATGGTGATGGTTCAGTAGGCGTAACTTGTGACCTGGTTTAATTGGAGTGGGTGTGAATATCAATAACTTTAGCCTACTCTGTTGTTAAATTCCGACTTTAACGTTACTTTAATAGCAATACAGAATAATTGAGCTTTTTGTCTTAACTAGGCGAATGCGAACTTCTGGTGACCCCCGCAGCCGTGTTGTTCAGCTGGGTCTTGTGCCTTGAGAGATATACAACCCTCTTTTAAATCACCTCTCCCCCTGCCAACCTTCTGCTCTGGGAGTGTTTATTCTTGATTCCAGGTCCAAGGCCCCCTCACATCCAGACGCGCAGGGTTGTTTACATCAGCTCCCCCCCTGTGCACGTGTTCTAACTAGCTCGGAATTCCTGAACACACAATCAGTGATGATTCCTGGCTTTCTGTGGTTGTGATTTAGACAAAGGCGCCTCTGTTTCTTCCATTGCCTTTGAGTCGACACTGCCCTATTATTTGCCCATGTGCTGAGGTCATAGAATTCGTTTTGACTTCAGTAATATTAACATTCAGTATTGGATTAGCAAATGGGCAATGGTTCATTGATGTAGCTCGCAGCCTGGTCTCCAGTTTGAGCGAGCGCGAGGATCGATAATTTAGCCTACTCTGTTGTTGAATTTCGAATTTTGACGTTACTTTAAAACCATGCAGGATGATTGGGCTTTTGCCTTAACTATGTCTGGCTGACACTCCCACTGTCTCTGCCGCCTGCACGGGTGACATGTGCCCGTTCATCAGGCCTTATCTTCCCTTGAAGCAACGTTGTAAATTCTGCCATCCTAGCCCTCCTCCGGTTCATTACTTAACAACACCTGGTGTTTTGCAGTTTGCTGCGCTTGGTGTGTTTCACTCATTAAAAAAACAAGTAAAAAGATAATATATAAAAATCATCAAATATTATTAATCTCAATTATGGAAGAAGGGTTAGTATACAACATTCCGCCCTTTTAAAAATGACCAGTGGTCAAATGGCCACGGGTTATTTTTAAAAAAATGTATACCCTTCTTCCATCATGAACCATCGATTGTCCTCAAGTTTTGCTGCTATTCCTTACAACGCGCGCGTACGTGTCACAACTTAACATGGTTATTTTGAATTGAGCAAAGAAAATTAAACAAGCGTTAAACATCGATATTGCGTTACATCGGTTCTGATACATCATGACTCCGACGAATATTCATTTTTGTTTTTGTTAAATCCTGGGAAACGCTAGGTAGCGGTTTCGAACGCATTTATGCGTTACTTTCCTCATGTTGCCTCGTTCACCACTTATCACTTCGATAATTCGATCACGGTTTTCGGGGTTCGTTTTTGTAGTTTCTTCTCTCACTCTCTGTGTCGTGGGAGTGTGTGGTGAAAAATTGTGCTGCACATAACCAGAATTCGCGCACCCGACCCACTTTGACCCTTGGTTCGAGGCATTCGCTCTCTCTGCGATTACATGCACATTTGCCGAGTCCGTGTGTCGATTTAATTCTGTCCCTCGTAATGTTGCCCTCTTTGTTTTTACTAGTGTGTTGGATTTCAACACCATTCCCGATACGTCATGGACATTCGTCTCCATTTTAGCACTCCGATCCACATAATTTTTGGTTTCCCTTGGATATTTTCCATTCAAAGGCTCATGCCTGCGCTCCTCAGGGCGTGTCCCTGCTGTCTGTTTTTGTACTGTCCGATCACGCTTCAATGCAACCCTGTCCTTGTATTCGATCCGCGCGTCATTTACGGGAGCACTGTCCACGTTTTTGCCCGCCCTGTCACTTGCAGCCTGCCTGTATTTCACATTGAGCG